ATATGTATCACCTGAAGATGGTTTGCCAACTGAGAGATTTTTAACTTTCCTTGAGCTAAAAGACCACTCAGGAGAAAGCATGGCTGATTTAGTGTTCAACTATTTCACTACTGAGCTTGAAATTGACTTTAGAAAATGCCGCGGGCAGTCTTATGACAATGCTGCCAACATGGCTGGGAAGTACAATGGTATGCAGCAAAAAATCATTGGGGGGGGGGGAATTTTGCAAGATTTATTCCATGCACAGGTCACTCTTTAAATCTTGTAGGCTGTTCAGCTGTGGATTGCTGCCTTGATGCAGTGAACTGTTTTGACATTATCAATGAAATTTGTACCTTCTTTTCATCCTCCACAAAGAGATGGGCAGTTCTAAAATCATTTTTGCCATCTCAGTCTCAAGTGCCTAAATCTTTGTCAGACACTAGGTGGGAAGCACACACAAAAGCCATTTGGAAAGTTACAGTGCTATCACTGATGCCCTCAGTCAATTCGTACTCTGACGTTAATGGAAAGGGGGAGACCAGACTTCAAGTTAACAATCTTTCACAAAAAAATGGAAGAACTGGAATTTGTGTTTATGTTGCATTTTTGGACCCGTGTGCTAGGTCATTTTCACAAGGTCAGCAAAGTCCTTCAAAAATCAGACCTGTTATTGTGCAAGTTTGTACAGTTCACTTCTGGATTTTTTAAGGAAAATTAGAGAAGATTTTGATGAGCTTGAGAAACAAGCAGAAGCCACCTTGTCAAATGTTAACTACAAAACAAGGAGACAAAGAGTAAGCAAACAGCAAAGAAGCAGCATATCTGAGCCTGAACATATTGAGATCAGCGTCCTATTTGAATGAATTGTATTATCTTTCATGACTTGTTGTAAAGCACTTTAAGAGCAAGAGACCTTTTGTACCACTCTAATATTCCTGAGGAAGATCCAATTTTGAAACGTTGTTATATAATCCGCAGACGGATTATGTATGCTTGTTCTAGGATTTTCTTATGATTTGTAGGAATTTAGACTGTAATACACAGGAAGCATTTTTTGCAAGTCTTGCTGACTGCTTGATTTGTGGGTCAGACTCTCACAATTGTTTTCTTTATACTTGTTCTCTGATTAGGTCGTGTTTGTCCACATTTGTCTTGTAATGGCAAAGAAATGACAGAAGTGCACCTGATGCCTTAGATGCACTTTCTTCAAGAGATAAGTTTAGGATAAAATCCTTTATTCCTATATTAGATGCACTTGAAGCCAATTTAAAAAGAAATACTGTGTACAGTGATGTTGCACAATTGTTTCCCATTCTTGTTAATCTGACAGCATCTAAGCAAGAAATTCAGCAAGGTGTTGAACTGTTGATGGAAGCATACCCAGAAGATATTGACCTGAAACTTATTGATGTACTTTTGCACTTTCATCTGTATGTGACACAAAGTCATAGGCTTACAGAAGAGCACTCTCTGTCTCATACAGACCTTTATCAAATTATATACAAGGAAAAATTCAGATGGCCTTTCCTAATGTGGAAGCAATCTTGCGGCTATTTCTTAGCTTTATTGTCACTAACCGCTGGGGAGAGGAGTTTTTCAAGACTCAAAAGAATTAAAAATTAATTAAGGGCCACGATGTCTCAAGAGAGGTTGTCCGCACTGAGAATTTTAAATATCTGTCATCATCCTTGGCTTCACTCAATTTTGTTTATAACACTCTTCCATTTTCTTCTAGTCGTGAGGGTGGGGGATTGGGAGGGGCCTCACAAGTGGAGTAGCCTAGGGCCTCTCTTAATCTAAATCCGGCCCTGCCCATGACTGCTAAGTTTACTCAGGAGTCTTTGGTGAGGTACCCTGTCAGAAGCCTTTTGAAAGTCCAGGTATATAATGTCTGTGGGGTCACTGTGGTCTACATGCTTGTTCACTTTATCAAAGAACTCTAAATGGTTGGTGAGGCAGGACTTCTCTTTGCACAAGCCATGCTGATTTTCCCACAATAGGTTTTGTCCCTCTATGCGCCTAACTATTCTATCTTTGATTCCAGTTTCTTCTAATTTGCCTGGGACAGACATTAGGCTGACTGGCCTGTAATTTCCTGGTTCCCCTCTGGATCCCTATTTAAAAATTGGTGTCACATTTGCCAGGGCTCTTTTTGTAGAAAAATCCCAGCAGGAACTTGTTAGCATAATAGGCCACACCCAACAGCAGAAACTCATTAGCATATTAGGCCACACCCCTGACCGTGCAGTGAAAAAATAAAACAGAGCCTGTTTGGGCTCAGAACACCACCACAGGGCTCCTGTCTCCCCACCCAACTGTTTTTCATGCCACAGCAACACGGAGGAGGGGAGTTTTTGCTTTTCTTGGAAATAACGACTCCATTGCTGTTTTATTGTGGAAAACAATGCTCCCTCTAAGCTGTGGAGTCTTGTGAGTAAGAATTCTACTTTGTGAGCTATTGGCATTAAAATTGTAAGCAAGCGATTTGATATTTTTAAAAAATTAAATAGACACTGGCTTGGGTCTAGGGATGCCAGTTCCCAGGTTAGGGTGGGGGAGTCCCCTGATTTTGTGGGCTCCTGCCTTCTGCTGGCCAACTGGTTGGTGCCGGGAAGCCCTGCCCTTAAGACAGGCCATCAGTGGCCACCCCTCTCCCTCCCCTCCTGCAAGATTTAAAGGACCCTTCAGCTGATCAGTCAGAGCACATGGCCCGTCAATCAGCTGTAGGGCCCTTTAAATCTTGCAGGAGGGAAGGAGAGGGGTGGCTGTTGGCCACATGCCTGAACTCCCAAGTGGTGAATTCGGCACTGGAATTCAGCCCCCCCCCCCCCCCCTTTTTGACAACACTTTAAAGGGTCCCTTTAAATGCTGTTTGTGGGGGGGGCGCTCCTGAACTACAGCCATGAATTTACCACTTGGAGTTCAGGCGTGTGGGGCGCCGGTCCCCAACATTATGATGCCACTTCTGTGTGACATCATTGTGTTGGGGGCATCCCCACCTCCTACCGGGATGACCCCAAGTACCCCACCAGCAAAGAAGGACCTGACAACTCTACTTGGGTCTCACCTAAAATTTTCATGGATGGAAGGATTTTTGGTTTCAGAGCATATCTTTCTGCTTCCTCCTTCCTCACTGCAGCCCCCAATGCCCCCTGAAATGCTGTTCATGGGGGCAGAGGATCCCTAGGAATAGCTGGGCTGGGGAAATTAGTAAAATCACTCGCCCTAGCACCTGTGCAACTTTTGGGCAGGATCCAAGCTACTGTTATGCATCTGATAATTGTTGATAAACTTTATTACAGTCTAATAAATGATAATTCAGCTACCAAACAGCCCAGGGCCTGTTCTATTCTCCATAATGGTGACCTCTCTGGATCTAATGGTTTGCAGTTAAGAATTGTTCCAATTTCATTTAAAACAATCTTGGATTATGAAATGGCTGCTGAAGAACCATGTAAGAACAATGGTACTGTTCTGTTCTTTAAAGAATGGCAGGCTATAAATAAGCTAAATAAATAAATTTACTGATGAGCGATGTTTTGCATTTTCAGCGCCGTCTTGGAGATGCTGCAAAGAAAGCAATCAGCAAGCTGCAGGTCAGAACAATAAGGAAGGGTGATAAGGTAAAAAAAAATCAAATCTTCTTTAAACAAGCAAAAACAAGAACGTGTGCTATGGGGAAAATGCTATAGACGAAGGGGGGGAAATCAATACTTTTTTCATCAAATACTTCCTGCTACAAAAGACTGAACTGGGAGGGGGGATGGACCTTAATATGTCAGTCATGCACAGATATATTGAATTTCCTTGAACACTGTTGAGTTGCTGAGGTGAGCTGTGGAGAAAGCAGGATCCATTATACGTTCACATGATACCTACAGTAGACTAGACCAAGCCCTCAGAATGTGAAAATATTTTGTAATGTTTACATCACTTTCTCTTGGTATCTTTTACTTTTGCCTAAAAAGATTAATTCCATTGTATTTTTTTCCACAGGAAACAGAATCTGATTTTGATAACTGTGCAGTTTGTATCGAAGGTTACAAACCAAATGATGTTGTCAGAATCTTGCCTTGCCGGTGAGTTCCTATAATTGGCTACTCAGAAATATATAACCTTTTGACTTTTATAAGCAAATTGAGATGATTTTTTTTTTACAGGCCAGAAATATTTCTTTGTAAACTGGTAAGAATTAAAAGAGCCTGCTAAGATTCATTATAATGGCTTGTGTTGGGGGCTATAGAAATGAAATCCAGTGGCACTTGTACTTTGGAACAGGTGCACTTCATTGACCAGTATTTCTGTAAATTCTATCCCACACTAGAAGTGAGACAGCCAGTGTGGTGTGGTAGTTAGAGTGTTGGACTAGGATCTTAGGAGACCCAGATTCAATTGCCAGCTCTGCCATGAAGCTTGCTGGGGGACCATAGACTAGTCACTCTCTCTCAGCCTAACTTAACTCACAGGATTGTTTGGAGAATAAAATGGAGGAGAAGAGATCAGTGTCAGTCTGAGCTACTTGGAAGAGGGCAAGATAAAAATGTAGTTAGTAAATAAATGATTTACAGTTCAGTCTTACGATGAACAGTTAGTATTACCTCACTGAAATCAAACTTTGCATGGGATTGCACTGTTAATTGCAAATTTTAGTAGATAAACTATATAAGAGTAGGATAAACTGCCTTTCTGTGATGTATTAAGATGGCTGCGGCTGTGTCCGGGTAGTCATCCTGAAGAGAACCTATCGTTACCTGGGCCATGTATATAGAATCTATCATGGGAATTGGGGGTGTGTTGGGTGTGAGTGTGTGCATGAATATAAGCCGGCCTTGTACTGGTTAAGTTATCTCTTTTTGTTCCAATATAATCAATAAATGTGAGCTGATTTCACTATGCTATGCCTGGAACTCCACTACTTTACACTGGCGACGAAGTGGGATCCCGATGAGCGAGCCTGACTCTCTCCGGACTGTCACCGATCAACAGGACATCGTGCCCCGCATCACTCCTCAGAAGCACCGCACCGCGCACCGTTCCTCTGATCATCGCTCCCCGCACCGCCCTCGAGTCATGGCTGCAGCTCCAGGAACCATCGAAGTTTTCGACCACATGCATCCAGAGTTCTGGGAAGCATGGGTAGACCAGCTGACGAACTACCTCACCTTCCATGACATCACTGACACCGGTAAGAAACGGGCCCTGCTAATAAGCTTGTGTGGGGTAGCCACCATCCGTCTGGCCAAGGGCCTCATAGCACCAGCCAAATTGGAAGACAAAACATACAAGGATCTCCTCAAAGTCCTGAATGATTATTTCGCGCCAAAGCCCATGAAAATGGCGAGGCGAATGGATTTATGGGCACAAACGCAAAAAGCGGGAGAAGGAGCCACCGTCTACATGGCCAAGCTACGCCAGCTCACCATAGACTGCGAGCTGCCAGGGATCGAAGAGATCATCCTCATGCAGTTCATCTCGGGCATCCGTGATCCCAAGCTACACAGAAAGCTCAAGGGAACCACTGACCTGAAGCTCGAGACAGCACTCCAGACCGCCAACGCGTTCGAGAGGTCGCATCGGGATCGTCCGCCATTGTCTGCGACCCACCAGGTATTGCCAGGGGGTGCCCCTACCTCCTCTGATGAAAAAGAGGCGCTTCAGGTCCATCAGCCCACTTGCCGTGACTCTCACCCATCACTGTCCACTGCATCCTCCAGCACACCAGCGACCTACGGAAGCTGCGGAGAGACACATGAATGGAGGTCCTGCTGTTTTTGGGATGCCGTCTGCCGCGCCTACGGAAAACAGGGCCACATCACCCAGGCCTGCCGCTCCAAGGGACACCAGCACCACGCCACCACCCATCAAGAAACAGCAGAACTCCACAGCACCTCGGTACATCGAAACCAGGTACATTTCTTGCCCCGGGGGTCCACCAATAAGATTAAAGTGACTGTCTTAATAGAGGGTGCCCCATGCATAATAGAACTGGACACAGGGTCCTCCCTCTCAATAATCTCAGAGGAAACCCTTCGCACGCTTTGCCCTAATGGGGGACCCCCACTGGAAGACACCGGCCTCACGCTGACTTCCAAAAGAACCCGGTCGCCATTAATGGGTGGGCCAGTTCCGCGTAAAATACAAAGCCTTTGAAGGGCCCTTGGAACTGGTCATAGTTAAGGGCCGCCTCACCAGCTTACTGGGATTAGCCTGTTTCGATGCATTGGGCCTGGCCGTCACCGGAATACAAAGTATACAGTCGGGAAACTTTAGTAACATGTGCGACGAGTTCCCGGCTGTATTTGACAGATCACTTGGCCGCTATACAGGGCCACAGGTTACCCTGAACCTTGATCCCGCAGTGCATCCACTCCGCCTGAAAGCCCGGCAGCCCCCGTTTGCACTCCAGCCCAAGATTGAGGCAGAGCTCAACTGCCTTGTCAGCTGGGGGTACTGGAGCCAGTGCCCCACACAAAATGGGAGACCCCTATCGTAACCCCAGTCAAACCCAACAGGGACATCAGGATCTGTGCAGACTACAAATACACTGTCAATAAGGCCCTCCAAGACCATGCGTATCCCATTCCCGTGGAGAGCCATGTCCTAGCGTCCCTGGCCGGGGCCAAAATCTTTGGCAAACTGGACTTGGCACAAGCCTACAAGCAACTGCCAGTAGATGACACTACAGCAGACGCCCAGACCATCGTAACACACTGGGGGGGGCGTTTAAAGTCAAATGGCTGCAGTTTGGGGTTAGTGTAGCTCCGGGGATAATGGACTGTTTGCTTAAAGGAATCCCCAGAGCACAACCCTTCTTCAATGACGTTCTGATTGCGGTGCCATCTCCCAAAGCCTTCTCCAATCGTCTTAGAGCTGTCCTGCAGCGCTTCAACGCAGCCGACCTTAAAGTAAAAAGAGAAAAGTGTCTCCTCGAGGTTCCCAGTGTCGAGTTCCTGGGATTCCAAGTCGACGCCAACGGAATCCACCCCACACCGGACAAAATAGCGGCCATCGTCAACGCACCTACACCCTCCTCCAAACCTGAGCTGCAGGCTTTCCTCGGCCTGCTCAACTTCTATCACTCATTTCTCCCCCACAAAGTGGCCATGGTCAAGCCCTGCACCGTCTCTTGGACAAACACGTGCAATGGAAGTGGGGGGCCCCTCAGGCTGCGGCGTTCCAGGCTGTTAAAGACTTACTGACTTCCAATGCTGTCCTGGTCCATTTTAATGAGTCCCTCCTGTGGTGCTCACCTGTGATGCATCGCCCTACAGGGTAGGGGCAGTCCTGGGTCACAGACTGGCCGACGGCCGCAAGGTCCCAGTAGCATATTACTTGTGCACCTTGTTGGCAGCGGAGCGTAACTACGCTCAGATAGACAAGGAGGTGCTGCCGATCGTGTCGGGTGTGTAAATTCCACGACTACCTGTACGGCCGCCCCTTCACTGCCTTCACGGATCACAAACCGCTGCTGGGCCTTCTGGTCCCCGACCGCCAGACACCCCATATGCTGTCTCCACAGATGCTGCAGTGGTCTATCTTTCTTGCTGGCTACCAGTACACCCTGCTGCACAGCCCAGGCAAGGTGATGGGACACACCGACACCCTTAGCCGCCTTCTGCTGCCCGTCTGCGACCCGGCCCCCATGCACTAGATCCTGCTGCTGGAAGACCTGCCCGACCGGCCGGTACAGGTGCCTGAAGTTTCCAAACACACTGGGAAGGACCGCATCCTCTGCCGTGTTCGGGACTGAGTGGGAAGGGGCTGGCCCACAGGGCATGTGGGCCCGGAGTTCGCAGCATTCTCATCCTGCCAGGAAGAACTGTCCACCCACAAAGGCTGCATCTTGTGGGGCAGTCAGGTAGTCATCCCTAGCCCCCTGCGAGGACGCATACTTGCTGCACTGCACAAAACCCACCCAGGAATCATACATATGAAAGCCTTGGCACGGAGCTACGTATGGTGGCTGGGCATGGACGGGGAGATAGAGGACCTGGTCAAACACTGCCAAACATGCCAGGAAACACGGGCGGCCCCTCCCGGGGCTCCAGTATGACAGTGGAAATCCTCACACAAACCATGGGCCCGTCCACCTGAACTTTGCGGGCCCGTTCCAGGGACAGACCTTTTTTTTATTCTTGTTGATTCTTACTCTAAGTGGCTAGAGGTGGTCTCTGTCTCCTCTATGTTCTACAGCCGCAATCAAAGCCATGTGGAAGATCTTCAGCACCCATGGCATCCCCGACACCCAGGTGTCGGACAATGGAACTGCATTCCTGGAGTTTGTGCAGTATTACGGAATTCAACATGTCCACTCCGCTCCATTCCACCCGGCAACCAATGGACAGGCGGAGCGGATGGTGTGAACTACCAAGGAGGCATTGGATCATCCAAGGGGAATGGGACTACAGGCTAGCTGCCTTCTTGTTTAGCCAACAGACGACCCCGTATACCGCCACAGGACGCTGCTTCACTGAACTCTTAATGGGCCGGTGACTGACAACCAGACTGGACTGGCTTCACCTGGACTGGGCACCCAACCACAACCCAGGCCCGGTAAACCAGGAGACACCCCGGGGGTTTTATACTGAGGATCCAGTGTACGCCTGAAACTATGCACAGGGAAAACCCTAGATCCCGGCCCGGGTGGTTAGAGTAATGGGACCGCTCTCATACGAGGTCTTGACTGAAGATGGCCAGATCATCTGAAGGCACATAGACCAACTGTGCTGTCACCTGCTGCCCATCGACGACCAGGAGGTACAGGATGCCGAGGACAGCAAGGTGGAACCTGCGTTGGGGCCAGCAGAGTCCGATACAGCCTCAGCGCCTGCTCCAAGTTCCTGGGACCTCACCAACCGCCACCTCCAAGCCACCACACCCTGGGCCAACCGCGCCAAACTGCACCCCATCGAAGCCACGGCGCTCCACGAGAGAATGGCAGCGCCCAGAGTACTTGTGGGACTTTGTATGCTAGTACTTTGGAACTAAGGGGGAAGGGTGTTATGTATTAAGATGGCTGCGACTGTGTGCGCCTGGCCATGCGGTCTACCAGACTCACAGACCTTCGGGTCTAGAACAA